ATCCATTAGTTTCATTAAAATTCCTTCCTGATCCAAATATGCACTCTAACAGAGGATATACTCAAACTGCTGTTCCCTTGAAAGAGGCCATGGTTAATATAAAAGACATGTTTGATTTATGTCAAGTGGTAACATAGGTAAAGCTTTGGATGCTCAGCATAAAACACTTTAATGGAATAGTATTGCTCCAAATATACCATACCAAAATTAACCTGAAAATATAAAAAGGTTACTAAATCATAGCTGACAGAGAGCTAGATGGACCAAGTTAAAATGCATTCCTAATGTCCATCCAATTCTGCCTGAACCCCTTGGGTCAGTTTGGGTCATTATTCGTTTGGAATAATTCCAAATGATTCCCTTGAGTTCTATTGTTATATTCAGCGACTTTAGGAAATTCAGAACAGGCCTCACTTCAAAGAAACCATAGGATCTCTATTAGTTTCTGGCTTTCATCTGAAGTGATCTTTTCAGAAAGCAATTATGTCAAAGTTAACCTAATTACTTTGCTTCATAAATGATAACTCTAGCCAGGCACCGATGCTCATGCCTGTAATCCTAACTACTAAAGAGGCAGAGATCAGGAGGATCAGGTTCGAAGCCAGACTGGGCAAATAGTTCCTTGAGACCCTATCTTGAAAAACCCTTCACAAAAATAGGGTTGGTAGACTAGCTCAAGGTGAAGGCCCTGAGTTCAAGCCCCAGTACCGCAAATAATAATAATAACAAATGATAACTCTGCAGATTTGCTCTCCCCAGGTAGAGGCCTTACCTTGGTCACCCAGCCTCACATCCTTATTCTCATAGTTCTTTAAACAAGCCTAGTACCTACCTTACCCCCTGCCCCTTTGTTTTGTTAGTTCCTACTGACCTTTCAGATAATTGTTTACTACTTCATAGTCTTTCTCTCCCAGGCCTCTCAGCCATAGCAATTTAGAATGCAAGTTTTATGACAAGGTCCTTGCTACATCATACTAAGACACATAACAGGCATACACACCACATAGCAGGCACTTGGTAACATCTTTCAATATATAATTCAGAACTCAGCACTTCCTTAAAGACGGCTCCTTTGACTCTATATATATCAGTGAAACCAACTCATATTTTCTCAAATCACCCTACATTTTTCTTGTGGACAGGAAAGATCCTGTTCAGTCTTCTACAACAAACTTATAAGAGACATTGGTACAAAGGCAAAAATATTAAAATCTTTCAGATTTTACAAACGCATTTCTCAAAGCCTTTACCTTCTTTTGCCTTGCCATAGACTGCTATTAATTAACTCAGACATTCTCTCACGTTATTAGCCTTTTTAAACAGGTATCTAAGACCAAATCATCAGAGGGTGGGGAAGGTCGATATTTAACCCAAATGACATTAGACCCAGAAATTCAACCAATTCTCTCTAGCTCTCTTAGATTTGTAACTACAGAAGGTAAGACAATGAACATTTTCTTTTTTCATGGCTAGCCTAGTAAAAGAAAACCTCACAGAAAAAGTATCTACCAAAGGAAATACGAAACTGAAAAACCTGGTAAGATGGTTTGAAGGCATTTGAAGAATGCTGATGTATCTCAGCATACAATCTTACAGCACATGTGCAAAGTAGCAAAAGCACTTTGTTTCTATTCTTTTATTTATACATGCATACATTGTCCAAACGCACTTTAAAGACAAAGGTAATGAACTGCATTTACAAATATATCCCACGCTGTTCCCGCAACCCTCCCCCCAAGTAATTCGAGAGGTTCAGTGTTCTTGGGGAGCAGTGGTAAAGTCATTTGTTTCTGGCTCCTTTAAGGAAGATACATAATTTAGCAGAATGTTAACAATCCATATATTATCCATTAGTAGTGTTCACTTCACTCTGCTTTGCAGCTCTGTATGTTTTTAAATGCCCTAGGTAAGATTTGTTTTTAAAGATAAAGAAAGGGCCGGGGTTGGAGATGGGTAGTAGAGTACATGCTTAGCATGCATGAGGTCCTGGGATCAATCCCCAGCACCACCAATAAATAAATAAAACAAATAAACAAATAAGTAAATAAAAGTTAAAGAGGAAAAAAAAACCAGAAACACATTTCTATTTCCGAAATTACTTTTCCATAAACCTGTTTCTCAACCTTTGTGCTTCTACTCAGTGAAATGAATACTTAATATTGAAAACCAACATTTTACATTGTTTTTTCTTTTATTCTTTTTTTTTTTTTTTAATAGAATGCTTCACAAATTTGCTACCATCCTTGTGCAGGGGCCATGTTAATCTCTATATTGTTCCAACTTTAGTATGTGCTGCATAAGTGACATTGCATTTTCAAAGTCACCACTGCTAACTTTGTGAAAGACACACACACACACACACACACACACACTTCATAAAAATTAGCTAAAACTTGAAAATAAGCAAAAGACAATACTAGACATTTTTCAGTGTAGTGTTCTGCTTGAATCTTTGATAACTTTCTATTGACTAGACTATTTTACAAATATGTAAGATAAATTTACAGAATTTTGGCTTATGCAAATGATTTCTATCCATCCAATGGAAAAGATAAACCATAAGTCATTCTTTTATGTTCTCGTAGGATATTAACTACTTCTGTCTCTAACCCAACCACCTTAATATTTTTTAATTCAATAACCTATAAATACACAAAAGTTCATGAGTGGCTCTAGTACCTTTCTAGAGCCTTCATTAAATAAGCTGAAATCACTGAGGCATGTTCATTTACATTTGCATGAAAGTCATTTTACCTTTCTGAAAATTCTATTTGGAGGTTCCCTAAAGATGTCCAAGGTGGCTAATGGACTAACCTGACAGAGCCAATTAAACTACATTGCTCCTTTCTCACATATATAGACATTCCTTCCAGAAACCTGAGGTCAAAATTGCTCTCATTTACATAAATCAAAAACTCAAAACTGAGAATTTTTGTTGTGGATGGTAAATACCTGTAGACCTTTACTTTTTAAAATTCATCTTTGTATATGAAGAGTCTCCCCAGATTGGTAGACTTCTCATTGTGCAAAGATGTGGTTGACAGATCCATACTGAAATTTAAAACTCCTTGCAAAGAGTGAATCTTGACCCTTAAAAGCTACATCTCTCAGCAGACACTAAACCTGTATGTTGCAATGACCCAATTATCACAAACTGTATATAATGCAAATTTCCTTCACCAAAAATTTTCCAAAAATATAAAAAATGTTTTCCATGTGAGTGTACCTCAATCCTACAATAACGGTAAGCTAATAAATTACTAGAAATTGATTTTTAATTCACTATAAAAGACCAAATTTTCTTAAATGTATCTATTTCACAATCAAAATACATACCATTATGGTGGAATACAATATAGGATCAACAAGGTACCTGGAAATGTGCCCAACATATAAATGTAAAATGAGACCAAAGCAATGGACTAAGATTGGATGCTAGTCCTAGTTTTGTTTCTAACCTAACCTGAAAAATAAATCTCTATCTGTACATGGAATTTGATTACAGTCAAAGTCATCTACACTCAAATACTATTTACTACCAAAAAGTACTAATGGGTGTATACTTGTATCACAATGCCAAGGGTAGAGGTCTATCTGATAACTGTGCTCCCATTTCTGTATGACAGAAGGGCTAATTACTAAGTATTTCTCCCCTTTGCTTTTAATTCAGGATACAGTTCATTATCACCACTCAGCACACTTTCCATTTTGTTCTGTCTCCTTACAGAATTGGGCCGCAGGTGGAAGGTCAATTTAATATTTTACACCAATGAAATGATAATCACCTCCAGCAACTTCTTTAAAAAGATGTGGCTTGATGTGCGCCCCAAGGGAAGCAATAACTCTTTGTAAGAATTAGAAAAATAGAAAATCTGAAATTTTGAGAAAAATGACTTTACCTTTAAAATGTACTATTTTAAATATTTTTTTAAAAAACTATTTAACTGTGAAAGGATGAGAAAAATGTTTTACTTTTAAAAAGCACTTCTGTCCATTTCTAGGAATTTAATGTATGACGAATTATTTTTCAAGTGCACTCTTTTAAATGAATAATGTTTATTATTTTAAAATTTACTCTTCGTTATTTTGCACAAAAGGCAGAAGGGACTAAATATGAATCTATGGCCAAAGAACTCATGTTCAATAACTAATCCTGAATCCATGGACAGACTTTAGATTTGCTTTCACTTACCAAAGGATTTATTATTTAAAAAAAAAAAAAAAGCCGATAGCACAATTACCTAAACTCACAGGGGAAGACGCACCCAAGGAATGCACCACCCCAAGCTAAAAGACTCCTCGGTAGGATGCCCCTTTTTTGTCCCTCAAAGTGATTCCGAGTTCTAAGTCGAACACACGAGGACATCGGGCACGTTCTGTAAGACATCCCTGCACCCAGGTAAGAAAGACGTCTGCGGGAAGTGGGCCGGCGCTTCGGCTTCACCTTCACCTGGAGACCTGCAGAAGGAGTACTGTGACTGACTCACTGGCGTTTCCCACACGGGAAACACATCCAAATGACAAAACAGCACTGCCTCCCCAGCGCGTGGACAGCCTGGACACGCACGGCGCTGGGCGCTGGCGCTGGGGGCTGGGGGGGCCAACACCCGCAGACGGCGGAGGGCGAGGACCCACGCAGCCCGCAAACGCTTTTGTTTTGGAGCCCGTGGGATCCCCAAGCGGGACTTTCTCCGGCCCAAACCCAGCCTGAGGACAACAAATTGGTCAAGGGCGGAAGTCGCCTGACGACATGCCTGCAACATGAAATCCACTTTTATGATCCTAACAGAACCTTCCTTCCGGGACGGGCCCAAACAAATTAATCGATAACTTGGGGGGAAAACGTCGTCCAGGACGCAACAGGCGACCACGAGTCCCCTCTCCCCTTGTCGCCAGCTAAACAAATGGCTGGGCCCTGGGGTGGGTGGACGACCGGGGGTGAGCACCGGGAGCACCAGCTGCTCCCCGTTAGAACTTGGGGCCCCCCGCCCGGCACTGACCTTCCGCAGGGCCGGGACCAGCAGTCCCCGCCATTTCGGACTGTTCTCTTCGCTGAAGAAGTCGTAGGGCTGCGGCGCCGGCTGCATGGCCCCGGCGGCAATGCCTCCGCATCGGGGGCGGCCCGCCACGGGCCGAGCGGGGCCGGGACGGTGTCCTGACAGGCAGGGCGCGGGCTGGGCCGCCTCGCCTCGCCTCGCCTCGCCGGCGGCCGCCGCCTCCCGCCCGGACCACGGCGACAGCCGAGGCGGCTCGGGGGCGGCGCCGGCCGCGGCGGGCGGGCGGGGACCGGGGAGGCTGCCTCGGGCCCGGCGGCCCTCGCCTCGCTCGCGCAGCGCCCTCGGAGGAAGCGCGGCGACCCCCGGCGGCGACCGCCTCGCCCCGCGACTCTGGCCCGCTCCTCGGGCGTCTCCTCCTCCTTTGTCTGGGTTCGCGGCCCGGCCCAACCCGGTGAGAATGTACCGCTGGCCTCGTTCGCCCCCGCCCTGACTCCCGCTACGGCCGCGGCGGGTGGAGAGCGGCGGCGGCTGGTAGTCGCCTCATCGTCTCATCCCCGCCCTCGCCACAGGCAACGCCGCCCGGCCCGACCCGGCCGAGTCACCTCCGAGGGCCTTGGGGACCGAGCGGACGCGTGAGCACCCCACCCTCCGGCGTGCACGGTGCAGGCCGCGGCCCCCCCAGCCGCCCCCCCGCAGCAGCCGCCGCCGCCGCGAGCGCCCGGGGCCGCCGCCTCCGAGCTCGGGTCCCAGCAGCCGCGGCTCGGCCCGCCCCCTCGGCCCGGCGCGCCTTCTCCCGAGCCGCCGGAGAAGAGCGAACGGAGCATGCGCGCCGCCGAGCGGGCTGAGGCGCCGGCCAGGCGCGGGGGTGCGGGGCCCGGGGGCCCGCGGGGGAAGCCGCCTCTCCACGCAGCTGTAGGGGGCGGCTGCAGACGCGCTTCCCAATTTACCCACTGCTTTTTATGCGTGCGCTGCCTGCGCTCGATCTTCCCAGGACTGTCCTAACTCGGTGCCGTGCAGCATTGGGTAGGCGGTACCGGCATGGGGACAGAAAAGGGCCCTTGGGCTGGCACGGTTATTTGTGCCCTACATGGCTCCTTTGTGTATGGGAGATGGCAGCTATTCCAGAGGGTCACGTTTCAGAGGGTCACGCGCAAAGGTCTTGGCACACGGTTGCAGGGCCAGAAAAGGGAACAATGATATTAAACTTGGACTGGCAGGACCGTCACTTGAATGGGCCCCTGTGTGTTCACAAAAATCACATCGTTTTCATAAAACTTTCAGATGATATTTTCAAGTTTTCTTAATCGCGTCCTTCAAATCAGGTAGGCTTTATGTTCTACAAAACCTGGATCCGCCCCCTTGGATGCAGTCTTGCCCACTAGCAACCGAGAAAAAGATGCCCTTTCTGAGTTAAAGAGGCACGAACTTGAAAATTTGATCATTAGCACAAATTTCGTCCCACCAAAGACGTGGAACACATGGTTTTTAAGAGGTTGTAGACAAAATAGGCATATATTCCCAGACCCCAACCACCAGTAGTGAGGGAAGAGAAAAGAAAGAACAAGGCATAAAAAAATAGGTCGGTGTCACAATTTCTGTTCAGGAATCAGTAGCCGAGCAACTATTCTACCCAAAAATAGGCGCCATTTTGTCACCTTGGAAAAATGAGAATGGCAGAGTTGGAAAACTTAAGAGATAATCTTTTAAATCTGTGTATCCACTGAGTGAAAAGGGTCCTTTAGTAAATGCTTACATCCATAGTCCATGTGCTTAGGACAAAACGTAGGATAGTGAAATGCTTGTATTAATCTTTGAGTCTGTGAAAGCAAAGACTTTGGCTTGTATACTTTTGGTTTGTAAACTTTGGCTTATTTACTTTTCTCTTCTGTTCCCAGACTCCAGCTATAAACTAGTGGGCTGTCAAATTACCAAGCTGTGATTGTATTTTTTCATAGGAAGTTGGTGGTGGGAAGTTTCACTCGTGCATAAGCATATTGGCCTGAAGGCAACATTTTGTTTAGCCAAGGCTGTACTAAATTTTTAAAATGCTATTTATTGCCATTTTAAAATCAAGAGCTTACATATAAAAGTCTGTATTTGCAGCTTCTCTTGACAGACTTGGCATCACTGGACCCTACTGCATTTGTGCAAAGGAATCATCAGCAGGCGCCGGGTAGTGGCTGCCCTCTTTAGGGAAGTATGCTGTCCCATTTGCAGTTGGCTATCCTCCCCACCTGGCACTCCTCAGCCTTTTATGTAACCTGCCTAGTTTCTACAGGCAGCTGAGTTGTGTGATCTCTGGGCTGGGCGAACGGAAATGTGATCCACACGCATGTGGAAGATAATCCAAGAATGGTACCAGTAAAAAGTTCCCTAGCCAGTTAAATGGGCCATCTAGGAAAAAAAAAAAAAAAAAAGTTGGGTCCATACCCTCCTCTATGCTGCCAGAAAATCCTTATACGTCAAAGGTTTACATGTAAAAAACTGGAAAATAATTTCTTTATGACCTCAGTACAAAAGACTTTTTCACAGGACACAAAATCTAGACTGATAAGTTTGACTTAAAAAAAAAATGCATGGCAAACAAAAAATTCATAAGCTAAGCCAAAAGGCAAATAACAAATTGGAAAAAATAGCTGCAACTCATTTTTTTAAAGTTAATTTCCCTAATATATAGAAGTGTTCTTTTAAACTAATAAGACTAAAACTCAATAAGAAATATCTCAAACATATAAAAGATGCTCGGTTTTACTCACATTAAGAAAAATGCAAATTTCAATTATACTCTTATTTTCACCTATTAGATTAGCACAGATCAGAAAGTTTACACATTTTGATGGTGAAGCTCTGCAGAAACAGGAACTCTATTACTGGTGGGAATGTACATTGTTTCAACTTCCATCAAGGGCAAGTAGGGGACACCTATCAAAGTTTCAAAGGTGCATGCATACCTTTTGACCTAGCACATTCTAGAAATATGTCCAGAGATATATTTGCTCATATGTGAAATCACTTAGGGACAAGGTTATTCATTGCAGTGTTGTCATAGCAACACACACACACACAAACACACACAAACTACAAATAAACAATATAATCAACAGAAGGACCAGGGTACTGGTTCATAAATTATAGTAAATCCAATGGAACCTACAGTGTTATCTAAAAACAACCAAGCCTCTGTGGAACTTTCTCCAAGACATACTGCAAGATAAAAAGAGCAGGGCATATAGTATGCAGAGTACACCACCACTTGTCCTTTTTTAATCAGGTGGCATTTTATGTACATAAGTATAATTTCTCAGGCTGATGCATAGCTCAAGTGGTAGAGCACTTGCCCAGCACACAGAAGGCCTTGGGTTCAATCCCCAGCACTTCACATAATTAATATTACTCTGCAATGCTACATAAGATTTTTGTTGCAACAGGGCTGAAAACTGAGTGGCTGGAGGAGAGAGGGAGACTTTTTGTTTGTACCTTTTTGTGGCTTTTGGATTTTCAACCACATGAATGTGGTATTTTTTTCAAAACATTGATTAAAAGTCATTTTTAAAGAAAAATTTCCACTGATTGTAAACTTTTGCTTCAAGTGTTAAAAATAGAAATATTAAACACATTAATACTGTAAGAGGGAGGGTGTATGTAACCAAAAGCTCAAGCATAATTTGATCTAACATAAATGCATCAATTAATATATTCATAATTTGATAAATAGTAATTTTGCTTGCTTTTTTAGAATTTAGAATGGCTTTTGGAAGATAATTTGAATGACCCAAGCAGATCTTTCATTTTAAAAGGCAGTTAGAATTTTAACCACTAATATTCTCTCACTGAAAAAACATTTTCAAGGACTTCCTCAACATTTCTCCCATTTACTATTTCATACTTCCTCAATTTATTTAAAGTTACAAGTGCTGCTGATCAGTAGCAAACCCAAGCAACACCACAGGAAACAATAAATGTTGCTGTCACTCACTTTCAAGGTACACTGACTGCCCGAAAGAAGCTGAAGAAGGCACTCAGTGAGACTACTCATTGTCCTTGTGACCCTTACTGGAGACGTATGCCCAGAAATTCCACCCCCTAAGAGACTGCATACCAAAGATATCTTCTCAACAGGAACCATAATTCTTAATCAAATTCCAAAGGATTTATTTACTTATTGTGTTCTCCCCCCTTATAACCCTTTATTAAAAAAAAAAGCAGTATGGGTTAGTGTATTACTTATAATTTGCTTTTAAACAAATAATGTTCCTCTTACTCTGGCGTATGACAGTGACACTGACTGAGGTCATTCAGATACTGCCACTACTACAAGATGGAAGGTTTTGTTTTTGTAAAGTAGCTGTTCCAGACAGCAATTCCTATCACAAAGGTGAAAGGGAAAAAGACATCATTCAAGCTCTTGTTATTTGTATTAATGCAAGAAAATCCTAGGGGCTAGAGATGAGTGGCTCAGGTGGTAGAGCATCTGCCTAGCAAGCCTACCAAGCCTAGCAAGCATGAGGCCCTGAGTTCAAAGCCCCAGTACCAAAGAAAAGAAAATCCTTCCAAATTCTGAGTTATCAAGTTGAGCTGTCAACAATATATTCATAATCTGTAATCTGTTCAGTACAGCTCCCAGGCAGGGGACTGGTTTATCTACAATCATGTATGTATATGGATCCTGATCCCAGAATGGGGAACTTAAGAAAAAAGAAAGAAAACAAACATTGACTTGTTTGCCCCAAGTGTTAACAATTAAGTAATTTACATGAATTGTTTACTATTTGTGACTAATTACTAGGTGTGACAGATACAGTATGTGGCAGGCAACATACATTCTACCTTCCTATTATCACAGATTGGAAAACCAAAAGCAGTATTTCCTAGATTCCCTTGCATCCAGGTTGCAGGATGTGATTAGATGGAGCCTATCAGATGTAGTGGAGTAAGATCTAGAAGGCAGAATTGATGTGGACGCTGCAAATCTGGTACTTCTGCTGGCAAGCACCACTCAGTCACTACAGTGGAACAGTGGAACAGTTCCCTATTGATGGTCCTAGTTTGGAATTGCTCTGTTGGTGGCCTGGTTCATGGTGTGGCCCAACCTAGTCAACTTCATCAGCCTCCCAATGATTTTGTATGCCTTAGAATAAGTTTACTCTCATTTAACTACCTAGGATGGATTCTATACTATATCACTAGCTGACAACAAAGTACTTTATGATTGCAACATTCAACTCTATTCATGAATTCTCAAATTTCAGATTTTTGGTTTTGTTGTTTTTGAAACAGTGTCTGGCTATATTTCACAGACTGATCTCAAACTCCTGGGCTCAAGTGATTATCCTGCTCCAGCATCCTGAGTAGCTGGGACTAGATGCATATACCACCATGGTTGGCTAAACTACAGAATAAAGAATAAATGTGAATTCAGACAAAAAGCTCAAGTTTGGCCAACCATGGTGGTACATGCATCTAGTCCCAGCTATTCATGATCCATTGATGTGATCCTCTTGAAAATTCTCGTTGATGCTCCTGGAAGCTGAATAGCTTGGAATGACCCTCCAGTTTCCCTTCTCACCATATTGTTTTAGAAATTGCTGATGGCTCCTTCTTTTCTTCCTTTCTCCCTCTCCCTCCCTCCTTCCTTCCTTCCTTTTTCCTTCCTCCTTCCCTCCCTCCATCTCTTCTTTCCTTCCTCCTTTCCCCTGCTATGCAGCCCAGGCTGGCCTCACACTCACAGTCCTCCTGTCTCCACCTCTCAAGTGCTAGAATTACAGGTGTGTGCCACCACAATAGGCTTTTTTTTTTTTCTTTCTTTAATTGCAGAAAACTTACCAAATAATTTTGGAAAGAAGTCTAAATTGGAAGTACAGTCAAGAGTTTACTATCAACCACAAAATTCTAACATACAAAGTAAAGGTAAAAAGCTTTATTTTTATATCCCTAAATTCCAAAGCACAATGCTGAATATTAGGAAAAAAATCTTTTCCTATTGGTCTATACATTAACATCATGACTGCTTCCTGGTATTTGTTTTTATTTTATTTATTAATTTACTTTTTTCCAGACAGGGTCAGGTTGGCCTTTAACTCATGATCCTCATACCTTAGTCTCCAAAATTCTGGGATTGCAGATGTGTGCCAACATACGTGGCTATTTTTACAGTGCTAGGGATTGAACCAAGGCCTCATGCATGCTTAGCTATACCCTTATCCAGTTGGCAACTATTTAAAAGGATTTAGGCAACCAGAATTTTGTACATGTCCCAGCTGGGATGACTGGTCAGGAATCTAAGAAGATAGGAAATTAAAGGTTGAAGGAACTAGGCATTCTGAGAAACAAAATAATTGATACATAGTTTGGTTTGGGAAGCCTGTCCACAACCTTACTTTGGATACCCCAAAAATTGCCCTTGTTATAAGAGATGTCTTTTGGCATCTCTTGTATGCTCAGTGGACAATTTAAGTAAAACTAAATCTGAAAGGTATAGAAAAAACAATACATGCTGTAGCCCTTTCATTCTAATCCATCACTATTTCTAAGCAACAACGTTGGGAGAGGTGATTCAAATGATACAGTTTTAAGCAAAACTTGGCTGAAATTCTAGGCTCTCTAATGAGAGATAACCCTCTGTTACTACTGTTCCTCAGATCTTTCCCTAAATTAAAGTGGAGCTTCCTAAGCAACCCAAGGCATGCCCTCACACATCTATCTCACCACATCTAAAATTTCTCATTTCATCCAATAGGCCAAAGAATGTTAAAATAATTTTGATGTGAGACCCTTCTTGCAGCAGAAAATAATAACATTTAACAAAATAACACGGTCCTTTCTAGGACTTGAGGCTAGAAAAGTAGTGCTGGTGGAATCACCATTCTTCTTTCCTGTAAGGATTTGGGGTTTTATTTCCATTCTTAAACTTTTTACTGGGTATGAACCACTTGAAAATATCTTCTAGGCATCTTTGTCTTTCCCAACCACTTTCCCCTGTCCTTGCACCCACCCTTTCACCTTAGATCCTGATGAAGAGTTTCAAAAACTCCCTATACATTAGAAAAACTTAGCAACTGACTTCACAATTGCTCCTCAAAAATGTTTACAAGATCTTTAGATAATAGTGTATACTCAGAAAGATGAGGATACACCTGACCAAAGAAGCCTAGACACAGATCAAGGGCTCATGAGGACAGAGCCAACCCTTAACATAAACACCATCTCTCCTGAGTTCACTGGAAGAGTGCAGGGTTGCAGCCATCCGGGCTGGACAGACTCCAAGTGCAGGCTGACAGACTTCCATATGCCAGAGCCCAGCAATCCGTGCCACTCTCCCCACGATCCTTTGAAGAAAGTTCTAAGAGTTAAGGTTATTCCACAGGCCGGTAGGCAGACTTCCAAATGGCCTCAGGAGAGGTGGAACTCTGCCAACAGTAATGGCAACACCCCAACAGTGCGAACTCTGAAGATCAAGGGAAGGACTGTGATATACATATATGTGTGTGTGATAAGAATTAAGTCACATAACATGAAATGGACTTGCTGGTACACTAACAGCTCCTCACAAACATTCTGAGCTAAAACCTAAAATGCTTCACTTTTACTCCAAAACATAAACTTCTCCACCTCATTTGTATATTCTACACAAATACGGAAGCATTGTTTTGTTTCATTTTGAGTCAGAGTCTCACTACTAAGTAGCCCAGGCTGACTGCCTACAACTCAAGATCCTCCTGGCCTCAGCCTCCTGAGGATTACAGATGTGCACCATTACACCTGGCTTCAGAAGGATTCTTTGTTTTTTGTGGTAGTAGAGTTTGAACTCAGAGCCTCATGCTTGCTAAGCAGGCGCTTTTACCACTTGGGCCATGCCTGGACCCCTCAAAAGTGTTGTGTTTTTGTTTTGTTTTGTTTTTGTGGGACTGAAGTTTGAACTCAGGGCTTCACACTTACAAAGCAAGCGCTCTAATGCTTGAGTCATGCCTCCAATCCATTTTTCTCTGGTTATTTTGCAGATGGGGGTTTCACAAACTATTTACCAGGGCTGACCTCAAATCATGATCCTCCCAATCTTAGCCTCCCAAGTAGCTAGGATTATAGGTATGAGCCACCAGCACCTGGATTTTTTCTTTTTTAATAACTGATTGCTATCTAAAACTATGAGAATTTGTTTTACACAGAATATTTATTTGAGTAAAAGCTTATAAGGAACTAAAAAATGTTTCCCACAACACAAGGATCATTAAAATATTTTAATACTAATATACATTTTCTTCTCTCAGAAAGACACAAAATTCTTAAATATTCTATCCACATTTAACAAAAAAAACCCTATTGACATAAATATCAAATATTTTACAAACAGAATAATCTACATACTGAAAACACTTTCAATAAATTTTCTCTCACATTTTTGGGGGTTATAGTACAGACTCAAATGGAATAAGGATTGCTTCAATTAGGACAGTTATTTTTATAATTTCATCTTTCACAGCTTAGTGTGTTTGTCCGCAGTCTTACTGTTGATGAAATAAAGAACTGTAATACTTTCCATTTCTTAGCAGTCTTGTAACAGAACAGAAGACTATCCTGTATGGGGCATTTCCTGCAGGAATCAGTTGTGAAGAACCCTTAGAGCTTGTTTCTTCTGTATGATTTCAGAGTGCTTTCAGTATGCTCATCCCAAGTGCTGAGTAATGGCCTAGTGTATTTACCTGGGTTGGGCTGCTTCTTGAACTGAAGCTGACAATATGTATCCTTCAAAGTAATGGACGAGGTAGCTTAATCAATGTAATCACCAAGGGCTGACATGAGGGAAAAGGAAGAAAACAGAAGTTTTTCCTATCAACCAACAGGCACATCCTTCCCACTTATACATTACACAGCTTTGGAGAGGTAAAAAAAAGAAAAAAAGAAGAGTGGAAGATTAATCCTGAGAAAGCGTGTGAGAGAATGGATGAAAATGTCTCACCTAAATGGTGTTCTGTTTTTCTGGTCAGGTGGTCACATTTTCATTTACATTTCTATTTTCCAACTTTCTTACCTATAGATGCATTTCATCAGATAAACCATATACCCATATATACAGTACACAGTATGGTACTGGACACCAACTTAACAGGCTCATGATGTACACATGAATGTAAGGCACTTTCGCGGTTTACAAAAGTGAATGCCTCAAAGTTTGATATTTACCAAAAATGGAGAAATATCCTCACAAAAGTGTATAGAAATCCTGAAAAGCCAAATAGGTATGAATCATTAGTGATCTTGGCCAGTGTTTTAAGAATGTTAGCATGACTAAAAGACAGAGATGTGAGATAATAATTGTTTAATATTACAGTCAATGTCAGGATGCTAAAACTGCTCTTGTAAAAACCTGCCAGCTCTGGATGCTTTAGTTTCTCAACCCCAGAAGACTGTAGAGCAGGCAACAACCACACATAGTATACTGCGGTTTAGGGGTAGTGATGATACCATACCACATGTTATAAAGAGATTTATAAAAAGACTGGAAGTAATAAAGTCTTTGAGTTTCTTTAAAACTACTTAAAAATGTGAAATTTCATGTATTTTCTTAAAATCAAAAATTTTTAATTTCCAAATATAAATGTCACTCTAAATAATGTCGGCTTCTCTATGACTTTGCAAAATTAAAAGAATGTTCACAACATATAGTGTGTTGTAGTATATTTTCTTGTCCAGGAAAGACAAAAAAACTTAGATATTATAAACTCAAAACAGTGATTTAAGGAAATAATCAATTTTTATGCCATCTTTCCTTCCCCAAAACTCTAATAAAAAGAACCAAATGTTCTCTGGACCATGGTTGGTAAGGAGAGATCATCAAGAAAGTCAGGGATTTAGGGCAGACACAACTATACTTGCTTCTTCATTCACAAAGTATGGACTTTAATTTTAAAAAATTATTTCCATGTTACATCATATCAATAATTCAGTGGTTATTTTTTTGCCTCAAAGTGAGAGTTTAAAACCATTTTCGCAAGTTATAATTAGAGAATGACATTAGTACATTCTTGTTGCTGATGTGGAGATTATAATGCATACCTAGGTTCATTCATTATTTACAATTCAAATCTTTGCTGCATTTCATCTACAATCATTTTAGAAATTGCAAGGGAAGAAGTGGCAGCAGGGGAAGGTGCATTTCTCACATGAAGAATGCGATTTCCAGCATCCCCAACTCCTCCATCAAATACGAAATCATCCACTAGATTTCCACCTTTATCTACAGCTTGTGCTCTGACTCCAGCTGGACCTCTGCAAAAACAAAACATTGGTATTCAGCTGACTCAAAGAGATGGGATACTTTACAAGTTAGTGATTTTCCAAGTATTCTTAAAGCAAAAAAGTCTTTATTCTTCTAAATGCACAATTATGTGGAAACCAAACAGGTGTGTATTCAGCCAAAGGCTGTCAACTGTAGCCTGGCAAACCTACATCCTTGGCTAGAGTATAGGTCTACTACATAAAAGTGCAGTAAATCAAATAAATGTACAAATAATCAGCTTACTTATAAACATATGTTCTTCCTAAAAGTAGCAGATAAATCTATATTTAATTAGAATGCATCTTTTTTATTTAAATTTTTAATAAAGATTTATTATAAGAGTCAATCGATAACAATGAGGCTCTTCTGGTTAATATAAAGCAATTAAAAGCAGAAGTTAGGTATCTTAGTTGCACTCCTTATCTACTCTTTTAATTTTTGCATTTTGATTGAACACTTACAATTTATGGAGAAAAATATAAGTAAGTTCTCATTTTGTAGTTTGTTTTTATGTGAACAATGTAACCTTCAATTTCAGGAAAACTTTCAGTTAAAGAGATTACAGGCACTGGGCACTGGTGGCTCACACCTGTAATCCTAGCTACTTGGGAAGCTGAGATTGTGAGGATCATGATTCAAGGCCAGCCTGGGCAAAAAAGTTCATCTCAATGGGAAAAGGCTCAGTGTTCCTATCATCCCAGTAATGGTGAGAAGCATAAAATAAAAGGATGGTAGTCAAGGCTGGTCTGGGAAAAAGCAAGACCCTATCTCCTACCACCAAAATAACCAGAGCAAAAAGGGCTAAAGGCATGGCTCAGGCAGTAGGGTGCCTGCCTAGCAAATGCAAAGCCCTGAGTTCACACCATAGTACTGCCAAAAAAAAAAAGCTTCAGAGAGACAGGAAAAACATAAAATGAATTAATTTAGCAGCATCTTAATACAGTGAGGATCTTTACTATCTAAAGTTGCTTTATAACATGTGAGTTCACATATTAGAGTTTTTTAAATAGCTAAAATTTGCAGATGAAATATAAATTAAATGCTTTTACTTTCTAATATCACCTCCTTTGAAATTGTTCAAGGAAACCCAATGTGAAAATGTCTATCTCATATGCATCAAGACTGGACAAGTCAGGCAACAATGTGAAACATTTTCTATTGATTCTGGGACAACTCAGATAAGTACTTGAGAAAGATACAAAGAAGAGACTGAGAGTGCTGTCCTCAACACCTCAGCTTGGCTGAGGAGAGACAAAGAGAATACTGACTATTATTTACTAAATGCTTCCTGTGTAGGACCCATCTCATGTATCCTCAAAACAAGTCTTGGAGGCTTATGTAGTTGATATTTAACAGCAAAGAAACACAGAGATTGACTATCTTGCCTGAAGTCATACACCTGTACTGTTCATTTTTTAGGTAAATAGGAATTAAAATGGGTGTGAAAAATTGTATGATAAAATAGGTAAGGAATCTGCACTAGACAATCAGGCAGGGAATCTGGACAGGAGACTTTCGAGCTAGAAGAACTGCAAGTAGGAATCTGATACAGCACTTAGAGCACAAACAGCACAGCACTGAAAGCTGACATTGCTTAGCTGTCAGTGTGTGGTCCAACCTGCACATTCTTCCTGCAGCTTATGTCAACTCAAATTGGCACTTCTCCTCCTGCCTTTTTTTTTTTTTTTAAAGAAAATACTGCAATTGGTTGCAAGCATCTCTGGGCTTGGTTTTCTTGGCCCTTTCCTTGTGTCTGGCAGAAGACTGACATGTTGGGCACACAGCAGTGTGACCTGCCACTGATGTTCAGTGTTTTAACATAAAATGACTTTCCTCTGTACAGAGGTTGTCAGTGCATTCCTCTCACTCCTTCAGAGCATATAGGGGTTAACGCTGTGTAACCACAGTAAAATCTGTCCCAGTTATTTCTCATATAAATACAAATTAGGAATTTTTTATGGTACTGGGATTTGAACCTGGGTCAGGGCCTTGTGCTTGCTAAGTAGGCGCTCTACAACTTGAGCCAACTCTTCAGCCCTAAACACAAATTATGTCTTTAATACCTCTTGCTTAAGTGGAATTATAGATTTCCAATAATATAATTCAAGAAGAAAACAAATTAAAATATTAGGTTTTTTCTTTCTAACTCATTATTACAGGTTTTTCTTAAGATCTCATTTTCATTAAAAGTAACATAAAATGTCTAAAATACTATATTCTTCATGTTCACTTTTTAGCACTTAGGGCAACTTCAGGGATTTTCTTTGCAGGGCTATACATAGGCTTTCTCCTCCAAACAATTCAGCTTGAGGTAAGGATAATCATTTGAAATCTCAGGTGAGATAAACCATAAATGTCTTTAGGACGAGGACAGTGTCTTACACACATTCCATTTTATATCCATATCCATATTTATTGCACATAGTAGGCATTCAATAGGCCAGAAATTAAATTTCTAAACTTCTAATTTTTGTAACTTTAATACTTGAAAGAACAATCCATTCAGCAAAATATCAAATTCAGCTACATTTAATGTAGTGCTATCTATAGATAGACATTTTGCTACATTTGTGGCTGAATTTAATAGGAAGGTACATCCTAGATACTTAATTATGTTCAGAGACAAGAACAGGTGAATATGTAACTAATTACATGCATTCACCTGAGAAGCCCTATATTGTATTGTCACAGGGCAACAATTGTGGGCCAGGAAATTACTATGAAAGGCTGTAACTGACATTTTGTCCAGTCCCAAATAAGATAATCTAGTGTTCTGGAAAACTCACAAGGGATCTACTGCTAATCTAAAGCTAAGATCCATGTGAGCACTTTTAAACTGGAAGTGGTGGTATGGGGAAAGTAAACAATTTCAATTTAATTTCCAGACCTGAAGGACTGGTATTTTTGTTACTAATCTTTAACCTAAGTGGATTATGACTAGGGAACATGGTTTTTCTATGCCCCTTTTTTTTTTCTGGTGCTGGAAATGGAACCCACAGCCGTGTGCACGTCAGGTGTGCCTGTCAGACAAGTGTATACTACTACGGAGCCACACCCCAACCTTTTATGGCCAAAGTTTGAATTTTGTTGAGGACCTGGTTAGGGTTTAAAACATTTTAAGCTTTTGTAAATATCCTGGGAGAGCTTGAATTTTACAAGTATTCTACTCTGGTGGCAGAAGGGATCACAAGTGTTTTGTTAGTGAAATCTTCTAATATTTTATATCTAATCCATCTTTATAACTCATTTCATTTATCTATTATTTATAACTGAGTTAATAACATTTACATTTATTGTAATTACTGGCATAATTGATTTCTACCATATTATTTCATGCTATTTAACCTAATTTTTCTAAGGTTTTCACTTTTTTTTTTTTGTGGCAGTACTGGGGATTGAACTCAGGGTTTCACGCTTGTTAGGAAAGTACTCTACCACTTGAGTCACACTCTCAGTCTTTTTTGTTTCAGTTATTTTTCAGATAGGGTCTCATGCTTTTTGCCTAGGCCTGCCTGACCATGAATCCTGCTACCTACATCTCCTGCGTAGCTGGGATTACAGATATAAGCCACTAAGCCTGGCAAAGAAAATCTGAATCAAGAGGTTTCTTTGTGTGTGTGTGTGTTTTTTTTTTTTTTTTTTCCTTTTTGTGGTTCTGGAGCTTGACTCAGGGCCTCCAAGTACTACCATTTGACTCATTCCCCCAGCCCTAGAAATCTATTTCCATTCTTACTTTAACTTATTAAGGTGGGAGTCACTATCAATTTCTCTGGAATTCCTATGAGAAGATAGGCTGGGGTTTTCTGACTTTCTTCTCCATGTCTTTTACCTTTCACACATTTTTCTCTTGCAATACTACTTTCTAAATTCTTCAAATTTACTTTTTATTCATGTTCTGTTAGGTAGGTTTGAAACCAAGTGTTTAACTTAAGTCACTTTAGTTTTAATATTGACTGATTCATTGGATTGATTGATGATACTGGGGTTTAAACTCAGGGCCTTGACTTACTAGGCAGGTGCATTACCATTTTAGCCATGTTCCCAGTCCTTTTTGTTTTAGTTATTTTTTGAATAGGGTATCAGGTTTTTGCCCAGACAGGCCCTGGATGGCAATCATCCTACCTATTCCTTTGGCCTAGCTGGGAACACAAGTATGTACCACCACACCTAGTTTGTTTTGTTGAAATGGTGTCACTTTTTCCCCAGTCTGGCCTTGAACCATAATCCTCCTGATCTTAGTCTTAGAATTTATAAGCTATCTTTTTCATTTCTAGAAGTTGTATTTAGTCATTTTCCAAATTTGCCTATACTTTGTCTTAATCTTTTTTATAATTTCAATACCTTTGTTTTTCATTCATTGAAACATATTTATTGTTTCTAATATTTACTATTATCCATAGTCTTTAGGCATCTAATTCTGGTGTTTATTTTATCTGCCAACTCTCATTTATGGTGGTGTAATATCTGTCCAGCAGGACTTTTTCTGGGGGAAACCTGTGGGTTGAAGGTGTGTTCCTCCACAGAGATTTTAATTTGTTTCTGTGAGATGCTTCAGGAAGTGCTTTTAATAGAAAATTTCAAACATGTAAAAAAGCAAAAAGAACAATGTAATAAAATCCTGTATATGGATAATCATCATTATGTATGATAAATGCTTCAACAACTACACACATACAGCCAATCTCGTTTCATCTATGCCCCCACCCAACAGTCTCCTTCCTCTAATGAATTATTTTAAAGCAAACCCAGATGATATGCCATTTAACTTCATGTATACAAAGGAATCTTAATAATAAACCAATAAATGCCTGGTATTGACAATATTAAAATTGCCTTGAATTTTCACTCTCTAATTTACACAGGAGAGAGAGAGAGAGAGAGAGAGAGAGAGAGAGAGAGAGAGAGATGGTGGCAGAAGAAGAGGAGAGGGAGAAGGGAAAGAGGGAGAGAGGGAAAAGGAGAGCAGACTGAACAAGTCTGGATCCACTTTAAATGTTCTCAGCTTATGGTTCCTAAACTAAACTGGTGATATACATTAAAACTCCCACTCCTACCTCCAAAACAAGGACATACAAAACTCCTCAACATTTTCTGGTGCCAAGGGGAATATTTTTATCTAGACATCCTTTTTATTAATAATGTTGTTCTTCAAGAGTTCCTGGCTTTACACTGGGATCTCAGTTCCAAATCTCTACCTGTCTAGACCCAAGGCCTCCTTTCTACCACTTGAGTGGCAATTAAAATACAAGCTGTTAATGTTCTATACCTTGTTTTGTGTGGTAAATATATGAGTCACACAATTTTCAGAATTCATTGAGCATTTAAGATCTATGTATTTTATTGCATGTGAATCACACATCAATTAAAAATACAGCTGAAGTCCCTCAGATATTAAAAATCAGCAAATTTTCCCTACCACTTGAGGTCAGCATCAGCACCAATTCGTCTTACTACGTGAGTTTTCAATTTTCTTCTTTATTTTTGGTCCTGAATTCTCCGCTATATATTTGCTATATTTTCTCTTGACATTTTGTATTGTGAAGGTTACCAAATTCTCTACACTAATGCCCCCTATAGGACGTTGGCAATATCTGGAGACATTTCTGGTTGTCACAACTAAGGCAATGGGTAGAGGACAGGGATGCCTACAATGAACTGGACAGTCCCTCACAACAAAGAATTATTTGGAGCCAGGTGCCAGTGGTTCATGCCTGTAATCCCAGCTACTTAGGAGGCTGATATCTGTAGGATGGATCACAGTTTGAAGCCAGCCCAGGCAGTTCATGAGACCCCATCTCCAAAATAACCAGAACAAAATGGACCAGAGGTGTGGCTCAACTGATACAGCACTTGTTTTGCAGGTGTGAAGCACTGAGTTCAAACACTAATCCCACCAAAAAAAAAATTATTTAGCCCAAAATGTCAATAGCACCAAGATTAAGAAACTATAATCTATATTGCTTTAGATCATTACAACTTTACTGCAGAAATGTTTTGCCTTTGCATTTCACAACACAGTATAGTCTAGTTACCAGCGTGAGGAAAACATCTTGCTTGAGAATTTACTTTTGAATTTCCCAAAATGATTTGTGGAGGTGGGAGGAATCATGGCATATATATCTTCACCTTTTACATGCTTACAGTGCTAACAGATACAAACCGCTGTGAGATCAACATATCAAAATTAATCACAGAACAAGTTAAAGGCGTTAAGAGATAAAATTAAGAGGCTTAGAGGCAGAATTTAACAATGAGAAGTTTGAATACCTAATGCATCCATTTGATGATAGTAACTTTACATTCCAATCTAATGTTCACCAGTACATTTTGCCTAAAATGCTCTGGCTAGGCAATGACAAGTCAATATGGAAGGTGCTGCTTCTGACAGCCTTTCTTTTTGTTGTTTCATGGGGTGCTAGGGAGCAAACCCAGAGTCTCATCTGCCTTATTAGCTTCCACTATCTACAACTGCTCATTATGCTTATGATACAAGACTGATAGAACATTTATGATTTTAATGCATCAGATTTCAGGACAAGTAAGACATGGGTACAGTTTGGGCTGCAAGCTGTGTAAAAGTCTACCCATACTATCTAGTATTTTAGGCATATAACAAGGTATAGAAAATAACATAATAGAAACCCAAGTTTTTACCAAAAAATAACATGATAGAAACCCAATTTTTTACCAAAGACCTTAAGAAATAAAGCATTTCAGATATGATGGAGGCCCCTGTGGTAGCCTTAAGATCCTGATCCTTCCTTCACCAGAAGTAGCCTCTCTCCTGAATAGGTGTTTATCAGTCCCAGGCATGTTTTTATTTTCACAGCAATCGATAAATAATGTATGGCATTGTTACGCTTGCTTTTTTAACTTACACTAAATGGTATCAAATGTTTCTTCTTCAATTTCCTTTTCATTATGGATAATTTCCTGCATTTTGTAGCTACCAGAATCAAGAAAAGAAACAAATGGAAGTGCTGAATATATTCAATATATGTCTCTCTTTTGGTGGTACTTGGGTTTAAACTCAGGGCCTGGCACTTGCAAAAGGCTGTTTTGCTTTAGTTATTTTTTGGACAGGGTCTTGCATTTTTGCTTAGGGCCAACACAGACTACATTGCTCCTACCTATTCCCCCCACGTAGCTGGAATTACATACTTGAGCCACCATGTTCAGTGTATTTTATTGAGATGGGTTCTTGCTAACTTTTTGCCTGGGCTGGCCTCATACCACAACCCTCCTGATCTCTACCTCCCAAGTAGCTGAGATTATAGGAACGTATCACCATGCCTAGCAGCATCTCTGTCTCTAAAGAGGAACTAATCTGTGATTGAATCATTAATACCCATAAGGCCCAAGTCCAGCTCCACCATATGAAATTCACTGGTCTAATGGGGTTTCTTCAGGCTTCTATGAAAGAGTGCTCATTGAATATGGAGAGTGAATTCACTGCCACTGTTTCTACACAGTATCTACTGTGCCTACCCAATGTGTATTCCAAGGAATATTAATAGCTATAGTAGAAATCAGATTTGACTAGTCTGTTTTCAGATAGAAAATGTTAACAAGACTGCTAAAACAAACCACTGAAAACATAAAAGCCTTTATTTATTAGTGAGTGTAAGAAAATAAACCTAGATATTTCTAGCAGTTCCATTTCTGAAGAGGAATAGAAGGGTAAAAGAGATAAGAGTAAAAACATTAGCTGTGTTTTAAAAGTTCTTCTAAGGATTCAAAGAGGCTGGTCTCCGAATGACACATTAGAGTCAGATTTAGACCAGCGCAATCCCCTCAGGGAGACAGCTGACATAATTATTGCTCTCCTCCCAGATACATAGTCGAGCCCACTGACATTTTACACCAGGCTACTTCAGCAGCTGTTACAGAGAAGGTAGATATTTAGTGCCCTGGAGAGCTGTGGAGAGATAGATTGTAGAGGCAGTGTGAGTACCTCAAAGCACACTGCTGATTAGGCCTAGCAAATGGTTTGTTCAGGGAAAAGGGTGAACACTAAAAATATCACCAAAGAAGAAAAGTACATGGCTTGGCTGGTATTTGCAATAATCTACAGACCAAGTCCAAAAAGTCTTTGTTTCTAAGGAAAAATACACACACACACACACAACCCTTACTTTGCCCTACATTCCTGTAGGAAGAACTTAGATTGATTATTACACTGCTTCCCACTCCTGTCCTGAAAGTAGAGTCTCAAGTAAGGGAAAAGGCCTCAGAAGTAAAAAAGAAGCAAGATAAGATGCCAGATCTAGGAGTGTGTTTCTAAAAGGTTTTAAGAAATGATCAAAATATAAAGATTTAGTGCGTCTATTACCTAGTAAGTTAACATGGTGATCAATGATTTTTATATAGAATTAAAGTCAGAAGGCTTTGAAATCACAAGATTGAGTAGACAGGAAGCTTTTTTAAAAATTCAGGCAAGAATTTTTTTATCAGTCAGGTGTGGTAGCATTGCCTCCTAATCCCAACACTCAGGAAATAGAGGCAGGAGGACAAGTGATTTGGCAGAGGCCAAATCCTGTCTCCAAAAAAAAAAATTATGAATGACATTACCATGAATGACAGCTAAATACAAAGGTTGAGGTGGCATCACAATAAAACTAAGATGGAGATTTCAGTTTAGAGCAATAAAGAGGCTTAGATTGTAGATGAACCAGCTATGATGTAGCAATGCCCAGTACATATACCGCAAAAGAAATTCAACAACTTTTGAAAGTGAGAGAACAAAGGTCAGTACATACACCGACTGACTCTAAACATGTGTTTACTAATCACCAAGTCAAACCTCCCTCTTAAGTTCACCAAAGTAAACTGTATTTACACTCCTTAATGTTTTTTCTTACCTAAGTATATCACTGACAGTAATTTCAGGGATAAACTTTTGAAGGTGCTTCACTGTTGCACCAAGACAACAGGCTTTATACATTTCATTAACTCCATAGAAGAAATTCTGAAACACCAATTTTAAAAAGCCACTGAAAGTAAAGAAAAAAATCTTTATGAGAAATGAATTCCTTATTACTATAAAATACCTTCGCTTGAGTTCAAACCCCAGTACCACACACAAAAAATAAGTAAATAAGTAAAATATTTCCGCAACTATTAGATTCTTTTTGGTGGCATCACAGAAATCTACGACAAGTACAAAAAACTACATATTCAAAGAAAACAAACTTTGAGCCAAAATAAGAAGGAAATTTCATCTACTAAAAGGTAAACAATTTCCACACTCAGATTCCCCAAAACCACTGGCTTCAAATTGTGAGTCTCTAAGCCTGCCAACATCAAGGCTTTCTAATGCAAGTGTTACATGCTTTCTACACACCTACTTGGTCTCAGCAGGTCTTTAAATCAGGGCACTAAAGAAGTGATTAAGCTGAATTAATAAAATTGATATAACACTCACAAATATGAGGATTTATCCTATAAAAAGAGTATCAAATTTTCCCCTCTTAAAAATATAAGCAAACTGGGCACCAGTGGCTCATGCCTGTAATCCTAGTTCCTTGGGAAGCTGAGATCTGGAAAATCATGGTTTGAGGCCAGCCTGAGATAGTTCTCAAGGCCCTATCTCAACCAATAGCAGGGTGCAGTGATCCCAGCTGCAGTGGGAAGCATAAAACAGGAGAACTGTGGTCCAAGCAAGCCTAGGCAAAAAGCAAACCCTATCTCCAAAATAACCACAGCAAAAAGGGCTGGAGGTGTGGTTCAAATGGTAAAGCACCTGCCTCGAAAGTGCAACCCCCAGTACTGAGTTCAATTCCCAGTACCACACTATGTGTGTATGCATATATGCACATAAAATTATTTTTTAAAAGTACAGTTGTTACCTATTGATAATTATATCTGTAACATCACTGGCACTGAAGTCAAAAGGTCTGTAACCTTCCCGTTTAAAGGCAAGTACTGCATTAGGCCCTAGCCAAATACTGCCATCCATCCTTGGTGTGAAGTGAACTCCTAGGAAAGGAAACCGGCTATCTGGGACCTATAGATTTAACACAGCAAAGAAATGTTAGCCCCATTTCACAGTCCATTTTATTCCAGATACAAACATCCAATTGGTAATATAAAACATCTGCTTCTATGCATTTAACATGCACTATGAACTACACTCAGATATGCTTTTCTATTAACATGCTTCTGCTTAGAACTGCCACCAGGAAACACTGATGCTACTGACAGTAACACACAGCTGCCATCTATTCATCTCTCTGGGTAAAGAAAAAGAAAAAAAGACATTTCCTTACTTCAGATCATCACCTTTCTCTCCTACAACTAGGGATGCTGTGATTGGCAAATAAAATCAGGACTTCCAGAAAAAAACTCACATTCATAGCACAGGCTTTTGTCAAGTGGGAATGTATGGGGTTGAAGCAGATGAATTTGGTGTTTTGGCAAGGTCAAAAATACCAAATATCTGAGTATTAGCTAAACCAATTCCACCTGGTTCAACCTAATACACTTGAGGGATTTGTTTACTTCCAGGGTAGTTCCAGACAGAAGAATGAACTCTTCTGTCTCTGTTTTCTGTTCTCTGTCTCTGTTTTCTCTTCCTTGGAATTACAGAGTGATCGTATCCTTCACATCTCAGTCAGTGAACTGAGAAACAGGGTTGGGTCCTATGAGTGCTCCCTTCACCAGAGAGGAGGAAGGACCTGGTTCCTTCTTGATAGTACTTCCTAGGATGCACTCATGCTTTCTGGAGACATGCACCTATGGGCAATTAATTTCAATTTAAGCACCATGATATTAAACAAAGATGTAGGGATTTAACCACTAGAGCAACAAATAAAATGTCTGCATAAACGACCCTTCAAACCCTCTCTTCTATTGTAGATGAAAATTTCTGTTCTCATCTCCTTTATGCTTAAAACCAGCTTGAGAAGAGTAAAAAGGAAGAAATATCATTACCTACCGGATAAATATTTCCTTTTACAAGATAGCATTTTTCTGGTTTCAAAAGCAGGTAATCTCCCCGGAATGGTATAATGTGAGGATCCGGATTACAGCCACTCAACTCTGAAATACGGTCTGAGTAGAGTCCTGCACATGTCACAACATACTGACATTGAATTTCCTCTCCCTGGTACAAAATAAGAGCAGATTAGCTTCCATATATGAAGGCTATACTTATCTTTCGGTGTGGAAGTGTAAAAAAGTCAACCTACGGGCAGAATAGTGATTAATAGAATTTGGGAGGGGGAGGTGGAAATAGCACACTGAACTCCATTAATATGTTCAATTAATACATGTTAATTAAAAAATAATAATAATTTTTTTAAAAGACCATGATTTGTATGGATAAGAGGATAATAGGTCAAGAGGGGAAGAAGATGATAGAAAAAGAAAATAAAGGCACAGAAATGGACTTTGTTCTAAAAGAAGAAATTTGATGCAAATATTAACATTTAGGTGACAGAAACTTAGGACAGTGGCAAGTAAGAGAATGGATGTCACCTTAAATTTTGTGCTTTAAAAAATTAGAGCTAAGGGGTGTGGCTCAAGTGGTAGAGCGCCTGACTAATAAAAAATTAGAGCTAATAATTGTTGACCTAAGAAGGATTCTTAACAAGCTACACACACATACATACAACCCTATTCTACTAGGACCTAGCACATAACTACTTGTCGCAGGAAGATGCAAACTTCATTAGATGATCACTAAATTTGGCCTGCACTGTATTTCACAAAGCTTCTCCTTTCTTATATGAGCTGCAACTATGTTATTTTTGAGTTGGTTCACATTCAACAATCCTGCTCAATTTCAAGTATAACCTACTCAATAAACAACTTCTCCTTCCTGATCGATATCCACTTTGTAAACTAAGGCTACTTTAGAAATCTCATTCACTCCATCCACAATTACTGAGAGCACACATTAAAGCCAATTTTTGCTTTAACAATTAAGAGAATGCTAATCATAGGCTGCTGTGATTTTCTACAATTTTGTAATTATCATCTGCATATTTTTACCTTTACTATGTTTAGCCAATTTGCCATTCTATTTCCTAAATGACTTCATTTAGCTCCAATTCACCACTAGACTTTAATTCTAATCTCTTTATTTCTTTCCCCCCCCCCCAGTTTTCCATTTTTAATATACGGTCTTAAATATACGGTTTTAATATATGGTCTTTTAATATAATGTCTTTGGTAAACAAATCCAGCACAAGGCCAACACAAAAAGAGGGAATAAAAGCAAGAAAAACAAAGCCTAGGCTTGTCCCTTATTGGGCATCAAGGTCAGGCCTACCCTCTCCCTTAAAGGAAATGAGTTTTTTACCCTTGGGCATCAGAATGGGTCCCTGTTCCTAAGCACAGAGAAACCAGCCCTGAAACATTTAAACATCTTTGCATATTTCACTGACTCATGGCTTCATGTGCATGAGACTCTGAAGTGCCATTTGCACAGGCGCAAGCAGATTTGTGAAGAGGAGTTTCCCCCTCTTCCTAGGAAATGTCTTACTAGCACCAACAGTGCCAATGGACCCAAGCTGCTTGTGACAATCAGTAAGGTTAGCTGTAACTTCTGGCTGGTGGTGGATGGAATGTCATTGTGCAGGGGTAGAGCTCCCTGTGGTGCCTGCCACGCAGGTCTGGGGCAGAAAATAGTCCAGAAGAGACCATGGCTAGCTGCTGAGAAAACATAATGATTAGCCACTTGGGGACTCTGTTACTTGGCATAAAAAATAGTCTTCTTGGATTGAAGATACCTGTGCAGAAAAAGTGCAGGTATAAACATGTGCTGCTGTAATAATGGGGAGAAAGCCCCAGTTTCCCTCAATTAATTTTGCTCAGGATTGACATGCAAGCCCCAAGCCAGCTTTGCTGCCAGAGCACAATCTGGCCAGTGGGGTAGCTCTCAGACCTGCAACACTATGCATCTAAAAGGGCTGGCCAGGTCACCACTGCCTGCCCACCTCTCTTGAGGCAACCATAGCCACTCTGGTGACACATGTGGCAGGATATATATTTTCTCTCCTCTTCTGTTTTCCAAGTTACAGGAGAAAAGTAGCTTACAGGTATTTCAAGGAGTAGGGGGTGGGACAATCCTCTGCTGATTGGAAAAGGAAGGTAAACAAAGATGACAAACCCAGGTCCTCCAACAATGCACATAACCACCCAACTTGAGGGCTCTGCTTCTCCTCACTACAGTCATGGCCTCTAAACCCAGGGATTACCAGTACTAGCTACTGTTAAACCCTGAAAAGCTCATGTTCACATCACTTTCCTCACTCAACTCTGGCTCAGACTAGTGGAATTTGATGTCAAGAGCAGATTCTTTTTCTGCTTTTGCTAGAGGGGCTGAGAAAATTGCCTCTTAAAAATGGGGGAAGGGGCAGTGTTACAGATTGCAGGTGGCCTGTAGTGCCACTACTGGGTTTTAGAGACAACTTCCTGGAGACACTTATGCTCTGAGTCCTTTCAGCCAATGACTTGGGTCTGCATGTATTTTGTCTTCAGACCCACTGTTGCCACAGGAAAGAGGAAATAGCCTCTCTGTGGATCCAGAGCAGTAGTGACAAATCCAGCAGAACTTTTTTGTCAAGTCCTATCAGAAACAGGAAAGTCAGCAAGGACCCACCTCACCTCCTTCTCCTCTCCTTGAAAAAGAACAAAGGTTATGGATGGCTTGCTCAGAGGTCCTACCTTTCATCCCCAGGCAAAGACAAACACTGGGTGGTTCTTATACAGTCCACACATCTGTCTTTTTGCACTGGCAAATCTGAAGGGAAAACCCTGTGAGATGTTTAGGGAAATGGCCAAGACAGACCCACTGCAGAGGCCACAGCATGTCATGGACAGCTGGAGGGTTGAGGCAAGGGGCAGGTTGGATAGAACTGCACAACTCATCAGCCCCCCAATTCTGATGGGCTTCCACCACTTCCAGTACCACCAGCAGTTGTTCACAGTTCTCTCCTCACAAATGCTGTTTTAGAAATTTCCTGAGTTCACTCTCCCCTTCAATCCACTTGGGCACCTTGAGTTTGGAACTGAGGTTGTAGTAGGCTCTCCCACTTCTCAAACACAGATCCAATGCTGCCTTTTGAAAGGCAACTTGAGTGGACCCAGCACAGGCTGGAGGGCAAGCGCATGATGAAGCCCACAACATTAGTGAAGACAACGATTCCAAAGTCACTATCCTTGGCCCACCAAACAGCTCCACAGCCCTTGGTCTGAAGTGTTGTAATGACATCCACTCCACAGTTTCCATTTCCCAGCATGCTCCATCTTGCGGGGTGTCGCCATGGAGTTTGGAGACGCCTCGGGAAAATCTCCTGCAGCGCTTCCCATGTAAAGGCAGTGCTATACTGGAAGATGTTGAGGGTGTGGAGGACACGGTGCTCGTTGCGCTGTTTCTCTTGTTAGATGTGTAGGGGAGGGGTTACCACTGGTCGCCTGGGACAGCCCCAAGGATTCAGATTTGGCCCTGTCTTTTTTCCATGGCACACAACTCATGTTTTTCATTTTAGGTTCCTGAGAGGGCTGAGAACACCCCACTCTTCCCTACTGAGGAAGATGTACACTGCTCAGTGTTTTTAGGATTCCTGAGGTCTACCTTATTCCCTGGTGTCCATAATTTATGGTTTGTCACTGGAAGAAAAATGTTGGAATCTAAAGGGAGAAAAAAAAAATCTCTCTTCTCAATAGAAAAATAACTTTTAGACTAGTACATTTCACCACCACTGTCAAAGTGCAGATCTTTTAATAAGTCATATAAAATTATGATCTTGTTTGCCCTGTGCCTAACGTCTCCTCTACCCCCACTTCAAAAACCCCCACAATTTCCTTGCTGTCTTTTCCTCTCTGTGAATGCCAACTAGGCCCCAACGCAGGAGAACCAAATAGAATTGATCACACCACTCCTCTTTTTCCATTTTATTCCCATCATGATGCCACAGACTCAGAAGAAAGGGCCTAGGTAGTAAATAAAATGTACAGCTCGAGCAGCTTGCAAGAGCTGGCCAGTATGGGATCGTGGGCTGCTCCTGGTAACTTCTTGTTCTTCCTCTCAGCTAACCTGTTTCTGAAGCCTGAGTGCTCATCTGTCTCAGCATTTCCTTTCTTTCCAGCTCTCACAGATGCAGGTTTATTCCATAAAACTGTATGTTTGACTCTATATATAGCCTATTTTTTCCCTTGCCAGAAAGACAATCCTCCTTTGAAGAGTTACAAAAGTTATATATTTTTAATGTAACTTCTGTATAGCAAATTCAAATTTGCTAGAATAAACCATGATTGTTTGAAAACTCGTTGAGTCAAAAGGGGTGTCAGTGACAACAACAAAATCTAGCCAGGTGTTCACAACTAAATCTCAGTACTTGGGAGGCTTAGGTAGGAGGATCACAAGTTCAGCCTGGGCTGTATATTAAGACCTTGTCTCAAGGAAAAAAAACCTAAAACAAACAATAGCAAATGCTTTTCCTGTTCATCTAGTTACATACCAGAAGTACAAGAAATGCTTTTATATGATAAAAATCTACCGGTTTCTACTTAAAAGGTCAGCAACTCTTTTGTTCTTAGAACATAAAACACAGATAAGCCTTATGATAAATGTAGAGATAACAAAATTTGTAAAATGGTATTAGCATGCAATAGTCTCCTTTTAAAAAAAACTCAAGTAACAGTTCCAATGATTTAAAAAGGTCTCTGAAATAATTTTATGCTATACATGAAACAAAAAATTCAGTAACATATTAATTTACTTCTAAACTGAAATTTGGGTAAATGTTAAACATTATATTGTTCAATAGTAATTATTTTGGTGGTAGTAGGTTTTGAACTCAGAGCCTCACGCTTGCTAGGCAGGTGCTCTACTACCTGAGTCATTCTGCCTGTCCTCAATCACAATTTTTTTTGAGACAGGGTCTAAGTAGCCTAGGCTGGCTTTGAACTTGAGACTTCCTGCCTCCATCTCCCAAGTGCTGGGATTATAAATTTCTTTGAAAGAATAAACTATGAATTTCTATTGTTCTTCCATAACTGAAAAAGACTTTTCCCCCATATCTAATGTATAAGTCTTTCATTTTAAATCCTCTCTCCAACAGTTTATTTTTAAAATTCCTTTTATTTTAACCTCTC